GGCCTTTTTTTTTTTTTTTTTTTTTTTGGAGAATTGAGTTCATTTCCTTCTCTGGATGTAAAACTATTATGAATTGATTTCGATTTGGGGTATTGAAAGATTATTGTTATTGTTAGGGTTTGCTGGTCTTGATTCCGGGTTGAAGATTTCGTAGAACTGGAGGGTTCTGAGGAAAATAGTTGATCTCAAGTTAGAAGAAGATAAAACAAGGATATTGGTTGTTTTGAAGTGAAATATTCAGATTATACTAAGTTAAGTGATGGATGGATCAAATGGAGGTTCTAATGCTCCGGCGCCTTTTCTGGTGAAGACATATGAGATGGTAGACGATCATTTGACGAATCCTGTTGTTTCTTGGAGTCATACTGGGCATAGTTTTGTTGTGTGGAATCCCCCGGAGTTTGCTCGAGATTTGTTGCCTAAGTATTTCAAGCACAACAATTTCTCCAGCTTCATCAGGCAACTCAATACATATGTAAGTCCTTTGCTTAATGCAATTTCTTGATCTCAATCTTTATGTTTTATGCGTTTACTGTGGTTTTTGTGCTTGTTTATCTGTGTCTCGAATGTTGGAGTTCGTTATAGATTGATCACTACTTACGTACTGAACTTATGGATTTTGAATTGACAAACCATGAATATCGATAAAAAATGATGGCAAAAGATTGATATATATAGTTAACTAATGTTGTAGTTGAGACTTACAATAAATGGTTGAAGAATGGAGGATTAGCATTTTGTTTGCTTACTTCATATTTGTCTGTGCTTTCTAGTATGAATTTAGTTCTTAATTTGGTTCTAGTGAGATCTTTTGGCTGAAACTTCCTTACTTTTTTGTAGGGTTTTCGAAAAGTTGATCCTGATCAATGGGAGTTTGCAAATGAAGAATTTATTCGTGGACAGAGACATCTTTTAAAGAATATACACCGGCGTAAGCCCATACACAGCCACTCGGGTCAAGGAAATTCAGTTCCATTAACTGATGTAGAAAGAGAGGAGCTAGAAAAGGAGATTGACAAGCTAAAATACGAAAAGGTTCAGCTTGAGTCAGAGGTTGAGAGGCATGTACAGGAGAATCGGGGATACGAATATGAAATTAGGTCGTTAGGACAAAAGTTGCAAAATATTGATCACAGGCAGCGGCAGTTAATGACAACCTTGGCCCATATGTTGCAAAAATCTAGATATGTCTCAAATCTTGTGGAACAGTCGGAGTCAAATAACAAAAAGAGAAGGTTAATAGCTTTGAATTATTTGCAAGATGAAGCCACACAAGGAGATAGCCAAATTATGACTTTCCGAGCAGACAATCCAAGAACTTCAACTCTTCCATTGTTAAACTCGGAATTAGTTGACAAGTTGGATTCATCACTGAACTTTTGGGAAACGTTTGTTCATGAGATTGATCAAATTCCATCTGAAAAATTGCAAGATTTTAGTGTGCTTCCACTCCCTTCACCAGTCACTATTACAGATATGCCTGTATCGTCGGGAGAGTCGGATTTAATTGGTCAAGCTTGCTCACCGAACTGTCATATATCCTCATCTCCTTCAAGAGATCTTCATTCTTCCCCCGAGCTGGCTGCATGTTCGACACATGTTGACAGCCCAGCAATATCATCTGTTTGCATCGACCTAGATTCCCGGCCCAAACCATCAGGAATTGATGTGAATGTGAGCCCAGCTAATGCTCATGATATTGACATGTCAAAAGACCTTAAACAAGACAGAATCGTTCCTTCTTTGTTGGCCGGGCCTAATGATGTCTTTTGGCAACAGTTTCTTGTGGAGGCTCCTGGTTTGTCCGAGACTCAAGAAGTGCAATCTGAAAGAAGAGATTTAGATGATAGGCGGGATCCTGGTGCCTCATTAGATGCCCGCAGAGCTTGGTGGAATGTAGAGAAGCTTATCCCTCAGATGGGGCATTTTGCTTGAGTTGAGAGCCTAATTTTGCAATAAAATCTCATTGGCTGGCCAGAGATAGTAAACTCTATGAAGGTTCCATGTTGTAATGGTATATATTAGATGGACGTGTTTTAGGGTCTTGAATTTACTTATATTTTCGAGTTTTCCTGTACATTTTCTTTTGTATCTTCACAATAGCAGATTAAACGTTTTGTTGAGTTATGTAGCCAAATAGTGAGAGCCCTCTGGTTTTCTCTTCGGTTTGGTAAATTCTACATGATGTATGATACTGTAGATTCTCCTTGCTGTGGTTCTTTCAAGTAAATGCTTAAGCAAATAAACACTTCTCTTGCATCCATCTTCCACAGTCGACTATTTCTAAAAGAAAGCACTGAATTCATTTAAAGCAATTGAGATTCTGGTGGTGTAACTGAGGATTCTCCACTTGCTGGAGGTAGATTCGCATACTATGAATCGAACAGGGTAAAAATATTGTGTTCTTTGACATGGTAGTTTTGTCCTTTATGTCTTCCTTAATCTGTGGTGGGCAGTGGTGGTGGCGGCCATGGTGAAAGGCAAAGGGGGTGTTCAGATAGAGGTTGTTCTCGCGTGGGGCGGCGGTGTAGGGGTGTGATGAAGATGAAGACCTTTTTTTTTGGTTTTGCGTGGTGTACAATACAACTTAAAGCTGTACACCTTACAGTCCCCTCACAATGAGGGGCTCACAATTATTTTATTTATGTGAGCCCGTTCAACATGTGAGGAACTGTACACCATGGTGTATAAGTGGCTTTTCTCTTCTTTTTTTTTTTTTCCCTATTACTTTTTAGTTGAAGTGGCAATATTTAAGCTAACAATGAATGTCATGTTGGTTTTCTGTTTGTCAAGTGAGTAATTTCATCAAATGAATGAAACGGAATCCATCCATCACTTGCATGAACATTTAATGATTGTCGAGATACGTTTCAAAGTTTAATTATTAAATGGTAACACCAATTATAATTTAGCGACCAATGATATAATTTACCTTCATACACGACGTATCTTTTAGTTTTAGCTCTCTAGACTATTGATTTGATTGGCATACCTATATTTATCTACCCAAAGATAAATGAAGGTTAAGAATCTCAAGTTTTCATGAGGTGTGGTTACATGTCTTCAACTTTGATGGTAAAGTTCTAAATCTATAACTTGTATAAATATGTAAAATTGAGTACTCACATGACAGAAATGCTAAAATCAGACTTCAATTTTACTTAAAGCTGTAGGGCCAAACCGTAAATCTCTTAAAACTATGTTGATCTTGCTTAAAATCATGTAAAAATTACACGTGATTCCCAAAATTGTCCAGACATTGGAGTTCAAGTGCCACAAAACCATTGGAGTTGGGAACCACATAATATTAGTTTATCAAAGTATCGTCAAAATACTCTTTAAACAAGAGACGCTTTATATTTTAAAGAATGACAAGAAATTTTTTAAAATAAAATTTTAATTTAGAAAGTGGGTTTGACTCTTTTATAATTAAATGCATTCACAGTGCTTTTATTTTCAATGTAAAAAATAATATAATAATTTAGAAAAAAAGTTAGTGAAAATAAAAAATAGAGAAAAATGATAACTAAATTTTAAAATTAGTAAATTTAAGTGTTAAGTATAAAGAACTTGTTAGATTACTTCAAAAATTTAATTGCTATTTAAATAATAAAATGTGCTCTTTTAAAATAGAATTTGTCTAGTGGTACATAATGGGGTGTACCGAATGGTGTACACCCCACTCACATGGGTGTGGGATCCATGTGAAAGAAATGATATTTTATTTGAGTGGATCTCTCGTCCATATGAGTGGAGTGTACATTATTAGGTACACCCCGATGTACCACTAGCAAAATCATTTAAAATAGGGAGTCCGAGGAAACACACTGTGAAACAGTAATTTCCCATTATGGCGAAAACATCAAGTTATATAGTTCCTTGGACTTGAATCAAACAATTCGTCATCATAAATCATTGACGACCCAACGGACGACAGTAATCGTCATAGACCAAACAGTACCTTCCCTATTACAACTATCAAGAAAATACAGATCCGATCGAATCATAATCACACAAACTCTTCGATCAGAGAGAAAACTAAAATACCCATGCCACGTTTTCTGTTTATTTTCTTCAAATCTAATAATTGATTCGGGTATGTTTATGCGGATGTTTTTTGAGCAACGTTTTCTGTTTATTTTCTTCAAATCTATTAATTGATTCAGGTATGTTATCGCGGATTTTTTTGATTCATAGTTAATTATTCTTGCCAGAGTCAGTATCCCTCTACCTTTTTTTTTTTTGCTGGAAAATGTTTTACAGTATGTTATATTCTGTATTGTATATGAAAAATGATATCTTTTTAGAGTACTTGATCAAGCACATTTTTTAACTTATTTTCGTTCTAGTTTTTACTAATTGAAACGTGGATTTTTGAGTTTTCTTTTGCTGGAAAAATCTGATTAAATTCTTTGGTGTTTTCTGTATTGATTTAAGTTGCAAGCCAGAAATTTTTGAATATGCGGTCCAGCTTAAGTTTTTCTTTTTGCTTTCAGGTTTATTACTTGAACTTAATCAACTCTGAGCTCAGAGTGCTTTGCAGTATCTTGCTTTTTCAAAACCACTGGAGAAACATTTACGTGTCTTCAACTATTATGTGGTTTAGATTTCTGGATCTATATGGCCTGGACTGAATTTGGTGATGCTAACGCTAATGACAGAGACTGGTTCAAATACTGAAAAAGTTGAGGAAAGTGAAAATGACAATATAACTATTGAAGATAATAGGTCATTGATTAGGCGGGACCCCTCGTTCTCCGGCTGGGGTGAAGGGGATGGGAACTTACAGCCAGTTCTATTAGAAAATGAGGATTTAAACTCAGAGCACTTCAAATTTGAACAGACTTTGGTACAACGGAGTGGGTTAGAAAATTCAAATTTAGGGGCAGAGAGATACCATTCTAGTAAGCTTCAGTTGAGGATGGATCGTAGTAGTGATGTGGAAGATGCATTCACTAATGATGTGAGAAAGAGGAACGAGAATTATGAGCCCTTTGATATTGAAAATCATTTCAAAAATGATCAGCAATATTCTGGCATTGGGGCAAATGGATCTGATTATATGGATTATCATGATTCATTGAGGTCAAATTCGAAGAACTCTATTTCTGTTGCTGATCTGCTGAAAACTTTGTTTTTTATACTAATGTGGTACACATTCAGTACATTCTTGACACTGTAAGTTCTTCCTCTAGATTAGACAGATGTTTTATTCCTTATAGTCATATGCATTGGTACTTTTAAGATTTTGTTATTTATTTATCTTTTCCGAATGGAGCAGGTATAATAAAACTTTATTAGGGGATCATCTAGGGAAATTCCCTGCTCCCTTACTGATGAATACTGTCCACTTTACAATGCAAGCTGTTTTATCAAAGGCCATTACTTGGTTTTGGTCTGAAAGATTTCAACCCACTTGTATGTCATGGAGGGATTACATTGTGAGAGGTAACAGAAAAATCACTGCCTTCAAAATTACTGATCCAAATTTGGATTCTTTAGAGCCAGCATACAGTGTTCTCATATCCCCTAATTGTGTTTAATAAATTATTTATGTTATGCTCTCTGTAATGTCCCTTCATATAATGGTTTTCATAGGTTATATTTTCTTTCAATCCATTTCTCTTCAAGAAGATGCAATATAATAAGTCAAAAAATTGAAAACAATGTTTTTAACTTTCTGCAACGGAATTTTTTCCTTCGATGGCTCAAGGTTGTTTATTGTGCTGCATCTGAGTTCACTCAAGTGTTTTATGTTTGTCCAATAAATATATACAAAAACTATATATTTTTGCTATTACTTCTCTCTCAATAAGAAACAATCCAGCCACAACTTTTTTATGCTCTGTTATTAGTTTGACTGTTGAGAACTATATAAGCGAATAATATTATTAGGACATGATTGACAAGGCTTCAGCTTCCTGTAGAAGAGTTTCTTGAGGAAGCAACCTTAATTAGTGTTTTGAAGCTGATTTCTAAAAGAATTTTATTTTCCAGAAGAACTTTATTTTTAAGAAGAGTTTTTAGAGCATGCCACATTGGACCAGCATTTTCTAAAAGTTCTTTTAACTAGAAAAAGTACTTTTATGAAATTAATCAAACATGTTCAAAAGTGGCATTTGGGTTTCAAAGTCTCCTTTTGGCTTTTCAAAAGCCATGCTAAATGGGTCTTTACATTGCATGTAGAGAGTACGAGGCCTTACTTTCGAACTGATGAAAGGCGTAGAGAGGTTTGAGGTGAATTCCTGCATCTCATACTTCATCTAGGGTCTGTTCGTTTCACATTTGAAAATGAAAAGTAGAAGTTTTTCAGGATTTCATTTTGCAAGTATTTAATACTTTTAGACTGATATCCTCTCTCTCATATTTAAAATTTTGCTATTATCATTAACTTCTCTAACAACTAATGCGACAGATGGCCTTTGCCTTTCACAGTTGTACCGACGGCCCTTAGCACTGCAATGGATGTTAATCTGAGCAATGCATCCCTTGTTTTCATCTCTGTTACTTTTGCCACTATGGTTGGTCATCTTTTCTCCCCATCCTTTACCATGATCATCACCATTGGATTAAGTTGCTTCATATTGGAACTGGACAATGGTGTCTAAGCATTGATTATGTATGGTCTTGATTTGACTTTCTTCATGTGTATATATAATAATGTAACATAGGGAAGCGATAAATCAGTATATCGAAGACAAAAATAATATGGAAGAATAAAAGAAGCTGAAATATTGAAGAAGAAAATTAAGCTTCTATGGCTAAGAGACTTGAGAGAGAGTTAAGAAATGTAATGTTTTACTGAAAACTGTTGTTACATGGATGATGCAAGAGTACTTAAAGCAAGTCTTATGACCTGTTTGTCTCAAGTGGCTCAAAGACAAGCATATTCTGAAAAACCACTTCAGCTTGAGATGTCTTATTTCATAGCAAGTAATAAACCTGTTAATCCCAGGTCGTAAAATGGTAACTTTATTCTAAATGAACCACATTATGGACATGTCTTAATTGATAAGACAATAAAACTGTACAAATGGCTTTCAGATTAAAAAAGAAAAGCTACCACTGTGCATGCTGAATCAATAATAAAACCAAAAGTAAACGCCAACAGTATGGTTTCCTCGTTTTTGATTTTTTGATTTGTATTTTTATTATTATTATTTTAATTTATATTTATTTATATTTTGCATATTAGGTTCATTCATGCACTTACGACATCTAATTACATCTGTTGTCTTTTTATATTTCAACTGGGTTGCGGAACTCTCAGCCCATCTAAGAGCTTATAAAATATTGTTGGGCTTAATCTTTGAAGTAACATATGGTCTATTTATTATAAAATCTTTTTCCTTGTATCTGTAAATTTTCCGTAGAAGCATATTATTTATTCAAGCCTATTATCTTGTTTTTGCAGTGTAAATCAGCAGCACCAATATTTCTTCTTATTTTTGCCTTTGCATTCAGGTAATTGTTTTACTTTTAAAAACCCCAAGGATATAGTTTAAGATCATTTGTTGGACTCAAACATATCTTATAACTTATCTCTCTCTGTATTGATACTTTTAAACTTTTACTCTCTTGGAGTGTTTACGAATCGGAAATAATTCAATATTTATTTGTGTAGCTAGAAGTTAGTTAGGTTTTGTTGTTGTGTTATGTGAAAGACGAAATTGTGATATGTAAATGCTTCTAAATTTGATAAAAAAAGATTTTTGTGCTGTACCATATAAATCTCTTCTTTGAGATCACTGTGGAGAAATGCATTTTTGACATCCATTTGAGGAAGCGGACAACCTTGAGAAGTAACAATAGAAATAACAGTCCGCACAATAGTCATCTTGGCGACCGGGGCATCTTCAGGAAATGTACATTTCATAGTTTTATTGTCAGGAAATGTACATTTCATGCATCTTCTAAATTTCTTCTGAGTTAATATGGCTTTTAACCTAAACTACCTTTTTTGAAGACTGGAGTCTCCAAGTCTTAAGCTGCTCGGCATCATGTTAGTCATCTCTGTTGGTATATTATTGACCGGTATGCAACTGTATTATATGTATTACATGCTTTTAATTTGTTGCATATACTGTTTAATTTTCGCCTGTCTTAATTACGATGAACATTTTTTATTTTCACAAACTTAAAAAAGTTATTTTACTAATGCCTCAGCTGCTTTTTCATCATATTTTTGCTTTACCTCTGATCTTCGTTATCTATAATTCAGTTGCAAAGGAGACCGAGTTTGAGTTTTGGGGTTTTATCTTCGTTATGCTTGCTGCTGTTATGGCCGGTTTTCGCTGGACAATGACTCAGATCCTTCTTCAGGTAAGACCAGATACTCATATATGCAGTTCTGGTTTTTGATCTTGTTTTAATTTTTATTATCAATTTTGAATTCTCATGGTACATTTGCTCACTTTATTTTTGTGGTCTTGGCACCGTTGATTGGTTTGTGCTGATCTCTAAACCGGCATGAAGAAAGAAGTATATGGTAAGCACAAGCAGTATTTACTCTTTTTAACCTAAAAATTCTGCCAAACCTTATTGCCATTATATTGTCTGTATTCACATCTATATATGTTAGCTTGAGCTTATTTGCTTCACATTGTCAAATTCTAATTTGATGTAGTTTAATGTAGCTGTTTCAGAAAGATAGTGTTTAATCTCTTCTTGGTTTCGGCTCTATCAAGGGTTGTTTCTTGAATATTTACAAACTTGTGCATATTCGGTTACTTAATATATGTGTCCGAACCATCTGGACCAGTTTTCCTGCAATTTATGTGCAGTATCCACTATGTTAAATAGTTCACAAATAAGCTCTTTTCTAATTCTAGCTCTTCTTGTTTTTACCGCAAATCCATCATAACACCTCTTATCTCAACTATAATTTATACAGTTCTTGCTTAGTAGCCATATATTTTATTCTACATGGTATTGCTGTTTTTTAAGACTTTAATCCAGCAGAAATACTCTGATCAAGCAATAACTTAGGCACAGCCCCCATTAATTCAACTAGCTTTAATCCTGAGTGACATTATCTTGAATTTCTTCCCCCTATTAAGTGTTAAGCACATATAGCAAAGTTGTTCACACATTGGTATTTTATGATCTCCATTATTTACTGCTTTGAATATTTTATGATCTCCAACTGAATTACCAGATGAGAGTATTTATCCTTGCTGTGGTTGGCACCTTTAATTCGTTTATAAATATTTTGTGACATTAACATAAACTTAAATGCATTCTGGCGGAAGAAGGATTATTAATTTGTTTTCATTTGTTTATTTTTAAAGTTATTTTCAATTAAAGGTTCATATATTCTTTGAAATGATTATTCAAATATTCAGAGTAAGTTGAAATATTCTACTTCAATGTATTGGATATTGAGGCTCAATATTTTATTGATACATTCAACGAAAGTATGTACTTTGAAGATTCCCATTGACCTGAAGTATAATATTTGAGACTGTGACTAGAATATGAAAAAATCTCCTACTGACTAATTTCCATAAGATTTCAACTGAACATGGGTACCTTTCTGACAAGTTGTTAGCTGGATATGATCCGTGCTTTAGGTCAAGAAAATATGTTTATGCTTTAATACACATCCTGCAAGGTAGCAAATGACATTGTACAATATGGTGGAGTCTAATGTAGGATTAAACTAAGTGCTATACCTTCTAGAAACTATTGGTGTGAGTCATCTCGATAATCAACAGAAGTCACACTGCAGAACCAAGTGCTACAATTGTGCGTTCTGCTTGGTGGGGACCAACTCTGGAGTTATATTCTGTTTAAGAGTAACATGCTTTGTGTGGACAAACATAAACATTTTACACTACCACGGTCAAAGGGAAAAAACAGTGTTAGGATATTGTCTACACAATACGTGACAGTTGGATAGATTCTTTTGGCCAACCATTACTATTTATGAAATTGTAGTTGAGAAATTTGAATTCAAATATAATGTCAGTTTGCAAAGTCATTCTTACCTAGTTATATTTGTTTAGTTGTAGTGGAAGAGTCTGCCACATTAATTTAAAGTTTGTTTTATCCACATCTATATTCTAAGACAGAGGGCGGAGAAACAATATATAGATAGAAATATAAGCATCTCTCTGAATTAGGACATCTGGACGACGGAGTGTGACGGTGGTAGAATGTTTGCATGTAAAGGCTACTGAAGCAATGACAGTTGACATATTTTTGATGCACAAAAGATTTTATTGTCTATGATGAAAATTGTTCATCGTTTAGGACTTAGTTCGAATAATCACCTGCTTTGCCTGGCGAAATTTAGCTAATAGGGATGCTTTCCTGGTAGATATATTGTTATATTGCCTTGGTTTGATGTAGTAGTTATATGTGAACTGAAGAGCTCAATTAATAGCTTTTATTTCGGCATCAGTATTTTATCTATCAGATCTCATTGACATTGATGCTCGATCATATGTAACTTACTTGTACATGTCTATATTTACGAGACATTTGTCTTTTTTTCTGTCCAGGTCTCAAAAATCCACTCACTTTAATGAGCTATGTGACCCCAATAATGGCAATTGCAACTGCTCTACTTTCTCTTATATTGGATCCATGGCAAGAATTCAGAGCGAGCAATTATTTTGACAGCTCATGGCATATTGCAAGAAGTTGTTTGCTGATGTTGTTTGGTGGAACTTTGGCTTTTTTCATGGTAGGAGTCTAGATCTCAGATTTTTTTGTTCAGTTTTGTGTGATGAAGTTCCATGTTTATATGGAAACAAAAGGATGGGATATTGCAATGTTGCTTGTCAGATGCTAAGAAATTTCAAATTACTAGCATTTTCCGCTTTTCGGTTCTATATGCTCTATGTATTTTTCTTCGTCTTAGAGAAATGCATAACTTCTTGGTCTTGTTGCAGGTATTAACAGAGTACATTCTGATATCAGTAACTAGTGCGGTAACGGTAACTATAGCAGGGGTTGTCAAGGAGGCTGTGACCATCTTGGTATAATAGCAAATTTTTTAGATAAATTACCGTTCCCTGAATTTCATAAATATACAATATTGTGCTGATAACTGTTAGTCTAAAACTTTGTTGCTTACCTTCAATGTATTAATTTCATGCCTGCTTTGCATTATCTGTAAATGACACTTTGCTCGTTATGTTTTTCGAGTATTTGCCTATTTGCAAGAGTTCGAGGGATTTAAGGAGATAATTGATAATCACTTTACCTTTTTTCCCAGTCCGTGTTTCATTGGATCAGTTGTACACTTGCACTTATGTAGTCTTTTTAATTATTCACCACGCCCACGATTGAATGACTTCCTCACTTTTAAGATGTCCATAGAAAATGACCTTTTTTCGGAAATAGTATTTTCTGTCTGAAAATATTATTTTTCAACAGTTTTTTGCAAGTAAAATGGCAAGTTATATGAAATATCAACTCAAGTTTGAAAGTCCATGACTGGAGAAATTCTCTTTGCAACATACTAATGAATTCTTAAAAATCTCCTCATGGACCATGCTTGCCATTCTCTATAAAGAGGAAGAGTGAACAAAACAAAGAAAAGATAAAAATAGATTAATGGGGAAGTGAGTGAGTGGAATTTCTGAGTTGGGTTTGGACTTCTATTGAGTGAGTCAGTTGGGAAGATCACAAAGTTCAGCTTAACTTCTTATTGGTTGGCGTTCAGTCCTTTTTCTGCGGAAACAACATTATTGAAACCATTTAGTTTTTATTAGACTGATGAGAAATCTAGCATTTGCTTCACAATCTTTGGCTATTCTTTATAAGTTGATATTGACTGTACATTTAAGGTCTTTGTTGCTAGCATTACTTTCGTTTTTAAACTAATTATTGAACCTCTGCAATACCATATCAGGTTGCCGTGTTCTATTTCCACGATGAGTTCACCTGGTTGAAAGGGGCTGGTCTTGTGACAATAATCGTTGGTGTCAGTTTATTTAACTGGTACAAGTAAGTAAACGAATTCCATGTTATTGCATCAAACTTACCTCATTTGCCAGCTCCTTTCCCATATCTGTCTTGATTAAAATATCATGGACAGCATCCATTTCTGTGTTTACATGTCATAAATTCTAAAAATAATCTGAAATATACTCAGGCATGGTAGCTTATGATTAATTAATTGTATTTACATGTTACAGTGAATTTTATTATTCTGACTGTTCTTTTGATTCTCATCATTGAAAAATATCCGTCTTAATTTCTCTACTTATTCACATGCATGATTTCAGCTGAACTACAAGATCTTTATCAATATCTACGAACCTTTCCTATTGATGGTTGTGACCATTATAATATCCAATTGTGGATTGTAATATTGTCACGATTGTTATACTTCTGTGGCCCGAGATTTCATGAAAAACTGGATTAAGCTGTTCTTCACCGATCTCTATGTTCCTTCTGATTTTGAGAGCTCTTAGAATTCTGCGGTGACCAGCATTACTGATCTTATTTGATTTCTAAAAACAGGCCGTTCACTTTCTGGAATCACTAACTTTCAAGTTAAAGAATTTACTGAAATTGTTGCTCTATGTATTTCCTCAAGAAAAGTGAAGGTTTCTTTTGTTGGTCAAGCCATGAAACTACTGACAGGGTTGCTGAAATTGGTTCATTTTGATGCAAGATTTACTCAAATTTTGCTGCTATTTATGAAATTGAATTTCCTCGACAAAGAGAGGGTTGCTTTTGTTAGTTGAGGAATGTAATTATGGATAGGAATAGTTGAACCTTGTTTTGTATAAATGCTAACTCTCCATGACTGTAAATTGGAGTGAAATAACATCATGCTATCGTTACTCTTGAGTGGAACTGTGTAAGAAATCAGTATTTCTTATGTTTCTTTGAACTAAGCAAAATACTTGTAAATTCTAATTCTTGTTTATTGAAATGTTTGCAATGTTGATGCCGGTATATGAAGAAAAAAGAATTGACCCCTTCAATTTTCTCTTCCCCCTAGATGGATCCATATCTGACATTACAATTTCCTATTTGTCGAAAACTGAAGCATGCTACTCTTTTTTGTACCTATTAATCTGAATTTTTCTACGCAGGAAGTAATGTTTCGGTAATTTTCTTATCTTAGAAATGTGAGTGCTATATATATTTTTTTTATTTTTTAATTTTTTTCTCACTTCTTGGCAAAAACATTTTTTTTTTTTCATCAGGTACCATAAGTTGCAGAAGGGAGACTCAATTGCAGATGGAATGGGAGGTTTATCAGCAGATAATTCACCGTCAAAGTATGTTATTCTCGATGAGATGGATGAGGAAGAAGATGTCCCATAAGAGCTCATCGTTGCATCATTTGAATATAAGAACTTGAGTAAGCTTCTGATCAATTGTTCACTCCAGTATTCTCATTGTCATACACGAAGGTGTTTTTTTATATATTATTATCTTTTTAAGTTCTTGCAGTGTAATTTTCTGTTTTGTAAGCCTTTTTTTAGTTATTTTTCAAAACTTAGAACAATGAAATTGAAATTTAGATAATTCTTAATTCTTCAACTCATGCCCCTGTTTTAAATTGGTTGTGCATGTTAGTAAATTAAGGCTGAAATTTCGAGATTCATGTTGTTTTTCCATCTGATTAGATCACGATAGCATGAGTGTTTTTCTCATATCTCTCCCATAGGAAACTAATATATTTTGTGGAGATTGTTAAATTTTATTACTGCAACTCTCCAAGGTTTGAGAACATAGCATCCTGATGATATTTGGGAATTTCACTTGACTGCCTCCTGTTGTAGCCCATGGGTCCACTTAAACTGCAAGCAACAAACATATTGCTGGATGTGAGAATAGATAAGGTTAACAGGTATTGCCCTCTGGATGGTCATCCCTTCATTGTCTTCTGGACTCAATGATCCGCATGCACTATGCTGTGTCTGGTGTATATGTTGTTAAAAGGATAAAATTCCATATCGAAAGAAGATGATAACATAGACCAACTTATAAATAATATGGTCACTCCTCTTAAAAATGTTGACTTTTCAAGATGGAATCCCAAATTTTAACATGACATCAGAGTTCATTAAACTCCAATGAGTAATTCAATACGATTAAGACCCAAAAAATAAGCTCGCGGATTCAATATTGGTCTGCTCAAATGAGCCACCATTTTATGGGATATATTAAGGGATAAAATTTCACATCTAGTAAAAATAAGAACATAGACCAACTTATAAAGGATTAAGCCACTCTTTTTAATAATGTTGACATTTTAAGATGAAATCCCAAATCTTAACATGTGTAAATAGATAAACAAAATTTCATTACATCTCAAAGAGAGAGAGAGAGAGAGAGAGAGAGTGGTGATTATCATAGGGAGAGAGATATAACATCTACATTTGCATGATGAAAAGAACTTTGACTCACCTCATTTATGGGTGCCAATGATTTCGAGCAAGTTCGAAATTCCTTGTGTTATCATATACATTCCTTGTGAAATCTGAGAAAAACATATATTTTTCTTCTATGGTCTTCAATTTTGACATGTAGCGGGGGGGCATCTATAATCATATAATTACAAGTTATTAGAAAATAGTACATCACTTGAATACTTGTATCGATGCTTCATGCAGCATGAGCATGAGAGGCAGTAATAGTGTAAATCTATTATGTTTGGACTTGGGTACGGGTATGTATCTGAGTGTAGGATATTTTATTTTTTAAAATGTAGGATACGAGAACATGACTAAAAAAATCTAAATTTCGGACACGGATACGTGGACACGTCTTTCAATTCAATTTTTTTACTAATCTAAAATTACATTTTGAATAGACCAAAATAAATTATTAACGAAGAAAGAAATGAGTATTAAATAAGGGGTTAAGATGAATAAAATAGAATTTTGAAATTTAGTTTTTAATCATAGAAATCACTAAATATTATATAAAATTGAAAATGAGAGATTTAATTCCAACTTGGACTTAGTGCAGCACTAAGTAGCATTATATGGAACCCATTTTTATTTTATACAAGCGAAACCCTAAACCACCGTTACAAAAAGAGAGAGGGGAAAAAAAAAAGAAGAAATGAAAGAAAAAAGAAAGAAGAAGAAAAAGAAGGGAAAACCTAGCGTCGCTGTCCTTCTCCACCCTCTCGGCGGCAACATTAAGTTTTTGGAGAGCGAAAATGGGAAAGAAGAAAAGGGAAAGTAAAAAAAAAAAAAAAAAAAAAAAAAAAAAAAAAAAAAAAAGAACGAAGAAAAAGCAAAAATGATGAAGTGTACGGTTGAAATTTTGAGGATCCGACACATTCCATATCTATACTCATATCGTGTCGTGTCGTGTCGTGTCGTGTCGGACATGGGTACTCCGACTATTTTGAAGAGTTGGAGCATTAGAGGCGTAAATATTATCCTATGATGCAATAGAATATGATAAGGCCAATTGATACTTTCTTGGAATGGTGCATAAGAAATAAATTCAACATTCTGCAGCTGGAATTCCCTGAGTTCCTATTAGGCATCACAAACTCCGACATTCAAATATGTGACTTCCTCATTGAATCCAATCTATATTCTTTGTCCCGCATGCTATCCTCCATCACTGACGTGAGTAGGGGCACTACACTTGGGGAAGTCCTTACCCGTTATAACTTTTTGAATTGGAGCTATATATATATATATGATGACAACATAAACGTTATTCATAATAAATTTGGAGTCTGTTATATGAATCCTCTTTTGCCACTCCCTTTGGTTTACCAAGTGGAAGATCTAACACAACTTGATTCTTAGCTCCTTTTGATTAGTGAAATTTTTGTTATGATCTATCCATGGGTGATAGATATGCTGGTCTCTATGTTAGATGTGAATGGAGGAAATCATATCTGCTAGTAATTTTTCTTCTATATGCCATTTTTCCCCTTTTTGCATAAAAGGCATGTCACACTAGATGTTTGTATGCTTGTTCAAGAACTTTCCCTGTTCTACATTGATTGTGATACTACAGGATCTCTGCTGAGCCTAGTGATCTTTTATACGA